GCAATGCTTTTATATCTCTGATTCCAAAAGAGGATCAAGATCTCACACTGCCCAAGAATTATAGGCCCATATCTCTTTTAAATGTGGATTATAAAATTTTTGCAAAAATTATAGCTAATAGGTTTATGGGGGTCTTGCAGCAGCTTATACATAAGGACCAATCGGGTTTTATAACTGGAAGATATATGAAAACTAATGTTAGACAAATTATCAATTTATTAGAATATTTAGATAAAAACAACCAAGTCTCTGCAGGGCTGATATTTTTGGATGCTGAAAAAGCCTTTGACCAATTGAACTGGCAGTTTATGTTATCTTTAATCAAGGAGATGAATTTTGGACAAAATATACTACAAGCTTTATCTAACATATATCAAAAACAGACTGCTCAACTTATTGTTAATGGGGGTTTGTCAGAGGTTTTCACAATAGAAAAAGGTACAAGACAGGGATGTCCATTATCTCCATTATTATTTGTTTTAACATTGGAAATTTTGTTGATTAAAATTCGGGAGTCTCAAGAAATAAAAGGAATAGAGATTAATAAAAAAGAATATAAGCTAAGAGCTTTTGCAGATGACTTGGTTGTTACTTTGTCTCAACCTACTTATTCGGTAGTAAAATTATTACAATTGATTCATCAATATGGGTGTGTTTCGGGTTTTAAAATCAATAACAATAAGACTAAAATACTACCTAAAAATATGATTAATCGTGATAAACAGACCTTGGTTAACTTAACAGACTTTGAAGTTGTTGATAAGGTAAAATATTTGGGGGTTATATTATCTGCTTCTAATGTAAAATTGTATAAAAACAATTATGAAAAGTTGTGGATTGGGGTACAGAAGGATTTAAAGAATTGGGATAACTTACAGTTATCTTTTATGGGTAGAATTGCAGTTATTAAAATGAATGTCCTACCAAAATTTATTTTTTTGTTTCAAATGTTACCTATCTTAAAGAATGAACTTAATTTAAATGAATGGCAGAAAGGTATTAATAAATTTATTTGGGCAGGGAAAAAACCAAGGGTAAAACTTAAAATTATGCAAGATTTTCGTGAGAGAGGTGGACTCAAGGTACTGAATTTGAAACTATATTATGACGCTGTGGTCCTAACATTGATTAGTGATTGGACGAATTTAACAAATGTAGAAATACTTCATTTGGAGGGTTGGGATTTACTTTTTGGATGGCATGCCTATTTAATTTTTAATAAAAAAGTGGATCGGGTTTTTAAATCTCATATTATAAGGATTTCTTTGCTTAGGGTGTGGAGGAAATATTATAAAAGTGATTTTAAAATACCATTATGGGCTATACCTTGGCATGCGATAGAGGGGATAAAGAGAGGAGTTAAGATGGATACGGTTTCTTATACACAACTACTTAGATGGGATGGTCAAAATTGGCAGTTAAAATCTTTGGAAGATTTAATACATGCAAACATTACTTACTCATGGTTTCAATATAGACAAATAGTGGATAGATGGAAGACGGATCGTAATATGGGTTGGCTTAGAGAAGATGAAAATCTTTTTAAACAAGTAAGGGATCAAAGACCAACTCATATTAAGAGGGTTTATGGGGTTTTAGTTGAAATGGATTCAGAATCTGAATTAATCAAAGATTGTATGATTAAATGGGCACAAAATATTGGTGAACCAATCCCATTGGATACCTGGGAACTTATCTGGGTGAGGAATGTTAAATTTATACAAGCGCAGAATTTAAGAGAGAATTTTTACAAAATGTTTTATAGATGGCACCTTGATCCACAAAAAATGTCTATTATGTACCCTGATCTACAGCCTAAATGTTGGAGATGTGGTTGTTTGGACGCTACTTATTACCATATTTGGTGGTCGTGTAAAAATATAAAAGCTTTTTGGATTAAGATATGGTGGAATATTCAAAGAATCTTTAGAAGGAGGGTTAAATTTACCCCACAATTATTTTTATTAGGTATTGTTACTGATTGTGATGCTAAGGAAGTTATATTGATGTTAAATTTGATTACAGCCGCAAGGCTGTTAGTAGGACAATATTGGAAAAAGGAATCTTTGCCTACTTTACAAGAGTGGTTTTATAAAGTTTCTTACTTGGTGGAAATGGCAAAGATTTCGGCTTTCTTAAAGGAGCAATCTCAAGAGAAATTTTTTGTTATATGGGAAAAATGGATAAATTTTATACAATATAATTTGGATATGGAAAAATATCATTTAGCTTTTTCATAGTTTGTATAGATTGTTTTCTCTTTTCTTTTTCCGTCTTTTGTTTTCTTTCTTCTTTTCTTTTTTCTTTTATTTTTTATCTTTCTTTCTTCTTTTTTTCTTTCTCTCTCTCTTTCCTCTCTTTTTTATTTCTTTTTTAAGTACTTCTTTAAGTACTTCTTTTTTTAATGTTCATGTTATGTATACTTTATTATTAATTATTTTATAAGTTGTAAAAGGTTTTTTAAAATTTTAAATAAGCCTATATTCAGTTCTGGGAAGTTTGGGGAGGGGGGAGGGGGTGGGTTTGGGAGGGATTGGGTGAGGGTTGATTTGTAAAACTTTTAAAAATTTTTCAATAAAAAAAAAAAAGAAGAGCCAAGGTTGCCTACCCCTGGGTTAGCGGAACAATCCAAACACAGAGATGCTCCAGAGCTTTCCTGATGGAGGCCACTGACAGAGGAGCAGACTTTGTAGAGGTCTTGAAAACCATCTATCCCAAGACAACTACTTTTCATGGGAATGCCTTTGACTGACTTTTTCTGTTCCTGAGACAGAACAATTTCTGGAATAGTTTTGCAACACACTTGGAGAAGAGAATGTGCTGACTCCTACAGAACTAGAGGCCTATGAGAAACTGGTAATTTCTGGGAAGCCTACTTTAGAAGGTAAAGCATTGGAGAAAGTGTTGAGAACATGTAGCCAGTTTTTTCAGCTGAACAGTGAGTTACAAGAAAATGAAGCCCTACCGCTTGATTTACTTGAACAAGAACTATCAGATGCTGAAGAATCAATATGCATGTCGAGTAATGCAACGTGACAAGCTTCAGATTTGTGCAGATAGTCTTTGCTGGCATGGTGAGTTTCTAGGTGTTTCAGAACTGTTGGCGAGACCATTAAAAGTTGTTGGCGCTGTTTGAAATTGTTCTGCCAGCAGCAAGGTCTGACTGCTGGCCCAGCAACGGATTCTATTGCAAATCAGGGCTGTTTCCAAAGGAAGCCGAGGAGGAGAGGTCCGGGGGCTTACGGAGCGAAGGAACTGGATGAGGCTGTCGGCAGGCCCAGAGGAAGAGAGAGAGGCTTTTGGAGGAGTTGGTGGCAGTGGCAGCCTGCTCCAGGGGCGAAAAGAAGCAAGGCCTCTTTAAGGAAAAGGTGGAAGAGTCAGGATCAGAAAAAGGAAAGGAGGCAAGGTTGTGCAGGAATACAAGCTAATTTGAGGACTAATCCACATGGAGCTCTGTTTGCCATCATTCACTCCCTAGAGACTAAAATGGACGATCTGAAACTTGAGCTGGCCACGAACAAGGAGTGTATATCGGAGGAGGTGACCCTTTGAGAGCTGAATGCAATGAAATTTCATTTTGATGTATGCCAATTGGTGTACATTCAAAGTGACAATAAAGTTGTTGTTGTTGTTGTTATTATTATGATCATTGCACAGTCAGCCAGATGTTCAGACTGGATTTGGCATTTTGTCTACCTATCGAGTCCTTACCCAGGACCTGGGATAGGCAGATGTGGATGTGTGATGGTATTACAGATATCGTCGCATGATGGAAGCAGTTCTAGTAAATTGACTAATGGCGAATTTGTCTATGCCAATGGTGTTCAAGTGGTGCTCCAGTTGTTTTGGGATTGCACCCAAGGCGCCTATTACTATTGGTACTACCCTTGCTTGCTTTTGCCACAGTCTTTCTATTTCTATTTGTAGGTCTTTGTATTTTGTTATCTTCTCCAGTTCTTTCTCGTCTATTCTGCTGTCTCCAGGCACTGCCATGTCCACTATCCAGACTTTTTTGTCTTTCTTAACGACAATTGTGGTTGTTGTTATTGTTGTTATTATTATTAAAACAAAAGCTTTGCCATTTAGCAGGCAAAAAAAAAGAGAGCAAACAGAGAACTAAAGAAGGTATGAGCAAGAGAATTTTCACAGCAACAATATCTACAGTGAGGTTTGTCAGATATCAGAGAAGTTAGCACACTGGCATAAGGGACTTGGGTATAAATAATTAACTTTGTCACGCGATCTAGGGCATTACCTGGAAACAGAAGAAAATTTCACAAAAGCTTTTTTGCGATTATTTCCAAATGTTGTGAACATTATTATCAATGATATGTAGGTCGATTATGAAAAAAAATGGGCAAAGTGATATTACAGAACAGCTAACTTCAGAATCTACAGCTAAACTAGCTGAACAACTGCAACTAAGACAAGAGCTTAGTTTATGTTGGTAATTCTGATAATCACAAAATAATCTTGGAGATTTTGAAGAGCAACTGCTCAGCAAGAATAAACCAGAATTTAAACAGAAAGACTTGCTAGAAAAAATAGATCAACCAACAGCAGATTATTTCAAGAGTGAAGGCCTACCTATTCAGGATTTCTTTCAAAAAAGGCTGAAGACACAGAAAGAAATTGGCCAAACAAAGCACTTTAAAAACATGGAAAGTTATAGGGAAGAACTGGGACACATGGAGTTAACATACCTTGGGAGCAAAACAGTCATGACTACTGCTAGAATTACAGCACTTTCATCTATCTTGCAAAAGGCAGAAGAAGTTTTAAAAGTCACTAAAGAGAACAAGGTGAAGGAAGAGAAGAGTGAGTTAAGTTTTTGTGTGACTAGATGCCAGGAACAGTTATGCATTCTCCAAAATAGGATAAACGAAAAGACCCAATTGCCTGTGCCCTTGCTTCAAAGCATTGCCCACCTTGTTTGTTTGCCTACAATAAATGGAGAACTAGACTTGGAAAACACGAGACTTGAGTATCTTGAATATGTATAAGAAGAAGCTATTGACCAGTTATTGGGCAGCTCAGCCACTTTGAGGTGCTGAAACTCTTGCTGATGTTGAAAAGAATCTGCAATGGACTGGAACTAAGCTGGAGGGACTGATGACTGTCCTGAAAAGAATCTCAGTCTAAGTTAGAAGAATGGCCATCCTGCTCTGAGGATTCAAGATTCTCCATTAAGCAATGCCCATGGATTTTGATAGATCCTAGTGACCTCACTACCTTACGGTTGTGGAGTTGCTGGGCAAACACAATCAAGAGAAACAATTTTCACATTCATATGAGACTTTGGCAAGCACAGGTTCATGATTGTGCCAGGAACTCCGAATGCTTCAAGTACAGCTAGCCACCCTATTTACTCAGTATCTTAAACTAAAGTCTGAGAACAAGGCACTGTAGTATTTGATGTATGGTGACTCCAAGCAGCTAATGCTTCGTGCTCAGGAATTGTCAGATCCTCTGGAGCAACTTAGCATCACACAAGCTAAAGTCTGTGAAATTCTAATGGACACCCCGATCAACTTAGAGACCCAAAACAAATTATCTGCAGGGCCACTTCCAGAAGATGGAATGCAAACTCTACATATACTTCTTCAGCGACCCAAACTATCTGAAGAAGTTGGTTGAAGAAGTTGAAAAGCAAGCACTGGCATCTTCGTGTACATAATGGCAAGAGAAGAAGAAAATAATCTTGCTCCGAGGCGCTTTTACATAAATTCTGTCTCAATGAATGGAATGCTTCCAAGAGAAGCATTCGGGAATTGTTAGGAGGGTAAACTTTCATCTTCCTGCCATCTCTTCTCTGAAGAATACATTAATATCTATTAAGGCTCTTTTCTAGGAGTTGATTTGATGACATGTATCTATTACCATGGGAAATATTGTATAGTATAAGGATTCTGTGTATGTTCCTTTTTTTGGATCCTTACTTTGCTACAGTATAGTAGAGTAGAATATATACATAGTGGGGGGTGTTCAGAGGGGGGAGGATGTTATGCAGAAATTGAGATGGAGTGCCTAAAACTATGAATACTTCTAAGAACTGGAATAAAAGTATCTATTGTCAAGAAATAAAACACAGACCAGTTAGATCAGTATTTCTCAAACTTGGCAATTTCCTGGTTGGGGAATTCTAGGAGTTGAAGTCCACATATCTTAAGATTGTCAAATTTGAGAAACATTGAGTTAGACTATAATGTGCACAAAATTGATGGGCTTTGCAAGACTTTTTTTGAAACAAGAATTTCAAAGGCTAAAGTATAATCATTAAATCAATATCCTTGGGAATAATCTGTTGTTTCCAGATTTCCCAACACTGCTTAATACAAAATGTTTGCTAAACACAAGGAGAACATCAAGTTGCCAGTGGTAAATGGTAACCATAAAGTAATAGGAACTAATGAGCAATGATAGAAGTAATATAACCTGTAATGCATACGTGGCTCATTTTTCTCAGATAATTGAATAAGTTATTCCAATCAAGTTATTCCAATCAAACAGTTGTTAACCTGAAACAGTGTAAAAAGATGAAGCCCTGTCTCATCATTTGATTCGCTGTGATTAACACCCTAAAATCATTCTAGGAAAATAAAATCTTCAGTAATGGAATACATTGTCATAGTTAAACTAATATAAAAAATTAAAAGCATTCACTGTATTCCATATTTAGTTCTAAAAAGCAATAAGAAACCTAAAATTATGCACAATAGATGTAAATAGTATGTTCAGAAAGTAGAGTTTCCACTGGCTGTTTTTACATCTCTTTTAAAATGTTAATACTCCAACAGGGGTATGAAACTTAGCCTTGAATTAATAGAGTCTTGTTAATTCAATTGATAGGTCCCAGTCAATTCTTCAGGAAGTTAATAGCTTTAGAAAAAAGGGTGCTCACAGGTTTAGATCAAATCCAAAATGAAGTTTTGAATGACAATGGGTGTTCCTGTATCAAAACCACAAATATCCAGCATCCCTCTGTCATCTGGGTCTGCAACTGTAAAGCCACTGGATGTCATTCCACAAACAATTAGCTTGGATGGAATACCCATTTTCTACAATCAGATAAAAAGAGAGAGAGAGAGAGAGAGAGAAATACTTTTTTTTTCAGACTATACTTGCAAAACAACAAATTATTTATAAAAGCCAAGTCTTACAGACTTTATTACTGAAGTGCACAATCCATATTCTTGTTATCTTCCTGTGAAGTGGGAAGTCTTATTTTTTTTTTCAGTATTTTGCCAAGATTTTTGATCCCAACTATCACAACTACAATTAGGGAAACCTGAATGTGGCAAATAGGGTTTTTCTTAAAAGTATGCTTTCTGTCTTATCTATGGTAGTCCTTTTCTTTTCTTTGTACTGCTCATTCTTTCTGCTTGTCCTTAAATAGCTTTTTCTGCATCCAATAACAAGTACTGTTCCACTTGTGGATCGCTTATGTGAACCCAGTACGCTTCTAGATCAGATCACTGTAGTGCAGATAGCTAGAAAGTCACAAGCAGTGCTGATATAACACTAATATAAACAGGACTAAACTAGTATGCACTGAACACAATATTAAAAATATAACTTTATATATTTATATTTCATTCTACTTTAGGATTATAATTATGTTGTTTGCCCAAAACCATTCCAGAAAATGGTTCTCTGTTATAACATAATGTAAACCATCAGAAAGCTGTTAGCTACTTAAGAATGCAAAATTTTATAAAGAAATATTTTTCTTATTTTGCATTATTTAAAGAATACTTACCTCTCTATACTGTCTCAATGCTGTGGCAGGGTGAACATCTCCAGCAAAGGTCTCACTATCCACAAAGATAATAAAAACATCAACTGCTACACCTGTCTTTTGGGCCCAGAGCACTGGAGCAGAACAATTAGTGGCACCCCTTGGAATCTATAAGTAAAAAAAAAATATTAAAATCCAAACAAGCCAGCAAAAGTTAGCAATATTTCTGCCAGGGAACTAACAAAGGGAATGTAAATCAAAGTTTACATTTAAGATTGCAAACTTTGCTGTTGTATATATGTTACTGGCAATGTGTGAAAAACTGGCATTTTGTAGATTGCCTAGGAAATCTATAGAATGTGTGATTTTTTTTAGGCAAAGTATGAAGTGTCTGTTATTTTAATATGCTATACACTTTCCTTAGGTATTGTATATAATACCTAGGCAACATGCAGAATGACAAGAACCATTTAGGAAAAGTATGAAAAGAAAGCCATGAAAAGGGTTAGAGTTAGGGTTAACCCTAATCCTTTATTGAAAGGGGTTTATGAAAATGAAAGAAAAAATGAAAAAGGTGGTACAGGATTTTCTTACTGAAAAAACAAGAAAAAAAAGACCAGTATTGACCTACTTGTTGCAACAAGGCAGGCTAGAATGGCATTTTAATGGGAATATTTTATATTTTGCTGATTTGCCTTTTGGCATTGCATAGAATGCCTAGAAAATACTGTATGTAAAAAGTGTTTCATATTTTGAGGTCCCATTTTTGTCATTCTATAGATTTTCCAGGCATGCCATAAAATGCCTAATTTCACACATTAGTGATAACATATATATTCTACCAGACAATCTGTGACCTATTGGGTCATTGTTTCAGAGATATTTCCTTATCTAGAAAAACTCTGGGCAAAAACTCAGTGGGAGTGGGTACAACTTCTCTCTTCCTTTCAGCTTCCTCATCGAGTTTCCTTGTGGGAAGCCAGCAGTGAACACTGGAAACCTACGTACCTTTCTTCCTTATTCCTCCCTCCCTTCCTCCCTCCCTCCCATCTTCCCCTTTTCCTTCCTTTCTCCCTTCCTGATAAGGCTAGCAAATCACTACTGTTGAGTGGAGAAGGGATTAAGAGAGTGGCCAGAAGCTTTCAAGAAATGTTGACAGTGATGATCAAATCGTCTCAACAGCATGGTGGCAGCAGCACTGAAGCAGCTACAACTTTCCCAAATTTCATTCTCTCAGGGTAAGGAGTCACCCGCATTTTGTAACTTTACCCATTTGAGGTACCTTGACTGAAAAGGTTTTGCCCTACGTTGCAACACTTTGCTCAACTAAAGGTTACAGACATGAGAGTTTTGGGTAGTATTTTGATATAGCGAATGACGTTTTCCCTGGAAAGTGATCAAATATCAGCTATTTTTTTTCCCCCATCAAACTAATGTCTCCTGTGATTTGCAATAGCAGTACAGTTTCAGACAAAGATCTACACTACGTGTCCCTTGAGCCTGTCCTCTGGAGATGCCAAACTGACAGGCAAATGAAAGTACACAGCAAAGCACTATTATAGACAACTCATGCAAGCTACAGAATTGCTGTTCACGGAGAAAAGGAGAAAAATCCTCTGGCCTGAGGATTAATTTAGTGGCAACCTTTTTCATCTCCCACATATGCACAGACAAATCTACAGTCCCCACAGCATGCAAACAGATATGCATATATGAGTCTATGTCTACTGTAGGATAGGCAAAGTTTATAGAAGGTTGCATGACATGAAATGGAGAGGACTAGCTTGCCCAGCAATATCTCCATGTCCATTCAGATCCATGTTTCCTTTAAAAAAAAAAAAGTTATTACCAAGAGATCTTTCACAAATCCAGGTCTGATTCCCATCCTCTTCTGCATCTACCCTTAATACCTTAAGCTTACCATTAAAATTTTTCAATGTTTTTGCTGTAATCTTTTGGGTTTCATTTCCTTCTATAAATCCATACACTAATGTGATTATGAATTTGATCACAAAACCAATCTGATCACTTCCCAGGGAAATTATCATTCATTATATCTACTGTCCCAAACAAATTTACATGCTTTTTTCTATTAAGCCAGCTCATTTACTTTTTTTCTCTTTATCCCGTAACTCATTATGTAATATAATAGCACCTTCAAATTATATACTAACACACTTCAAGTAAAATCAAAGCATATCCATACACTCTTACATCTCTTATTAGTTATCCATTTTCCATTTTTCTTTCTAATGAAGTTTAAGTACTGGATTACTCAGGCCAATGTGCTTTCCTTTTTACTATGATATTAAAATTAACATGTGCTACATGCAAGAAAAAAGAGTCACTTGAAAATAAAACGCTTCCATGAAAAAGAATTACTTGTTTAAGAGTTAGTAAAATACTTCTTTTCATGATAAATACATTGTTAACTATTCTCATATAAAACTACAGGGTGACTTTAAGAATATTAGATACCTCAGACATTTTCTGTAATACTTGTGGTAAAGTCATATCCTCAGTCACAGGACTAGGAACTATATCATGGGAAAAAGCAACAATGTGGGAATCTTTTTCAGTGCGTGCCACAACCTGGTAAAAACCAAATGACCAAAGGTAAAGAATGTTATTTTCCTGTTTGTTAAACTAAAAAGCATTTCTGCACTCAAACTTTCTATGTCTAGTCTAGTTGCCTCTTGAAAAAGCACCTTTAGGTCAAGCTTTCTCTGGTTTTCAAATGTGAAATAGCTGTTTTTACAAGCCTTTTCTATTCTAATTCATCCCTTTTTTAATGCTCCACAATATGTTAGTCCTTTCTCCCAGACTTTCTTAAGTTGTTATTTTCTTTGGATACAAGTGCTGAAAATCTGATTACCAAATCTTGCATAATGGTTCCTTCTTGACCTATAGAACAGGCACTGAAGGAATGCATCATCTTAGCCAAACATTTGCTTTAGTTCAGGAGGCATTAATCACTGGAAAAATGATTTGTTGCCTGCTCTAACTAGAGCAACAGGAAAATTATGTATTGTAGACAAATGGCATGACAAGACTGGCTAGTAAGGCATGGAATGAAGGAAAGGTATCATCAACATGTGGCCAAATACTGTCCAGTAATTAAGTTACTCAAATTATAAACACAGAGAGACATTTGGGAGTCATTAAAGGAAATATGTCCTTATATACTTTTAGAAAATGTTGACCATATTATCTGAAAATAAACAGGTTAAATAAAACAAAAGTTTAATTTATATCTGAAGAAATCAGCAGAATAGGAATTAATACCTATGTTGATTTGCATGGATAGGTTTGTTAGTTTTGTTTTAAAATCATATCTATCAAATCATGAGGCAGATATCCTCGGCTTTACCAAATTACAATCTATTTAGTCTTGGAAAGTCAGAACAACGCCATCGCATCCCAAAGTTTGGGACCAAAAAATATCATAAAACTGAGATGTTTCTTACCATGCACATAGTTGCAGCAATGGTACTAGCATTCAGCACACTACCAAAAACCTTTTGTAACATAGAATCACTAACATCAACAGCAACTAAGATACGCTTTCCCATTGGTTCTAATGCCTAAGAAAGAGGCAATGAGTGGAAAGAAGTCAGAATATATAATATTTTTTTAACATTGTTTTAATTACATGACTTTTTACAGCTGTGAGTGCTTTCAGAATCAATGGTATTAATCAAAGAAATGCTAGTTGATTACAAAAATAATACAAATATATGAGAAGAGGGTACTAATTCACCACCCCACCACCACCACCATCTTTCCCCAAATGTACATTATAGCTGAGCAACCAAGTGCACAGCATAATGTGTTAACTAAATCTCCATGAGTCTTAAGAGGAAGGGGGGGGGAGGAAGACTACAGCCCTAGACTGTTATGGATTGATCATACAGAATACCGAAAAACAAATATCCTAGGAACATTTACCATCCTTCTTTTAGTCTTTATTGCCAAAATTGGAACTTCCCTAAAGAGATTTTGCTTAAATGCTTCAGACTTATACTGAAAGTAGTTAAATAAATATTCATTAACCATTACCTTGAAGGACTTGTAAAATGAAGTATTTAGAGCTTCCAAGATGTCCTTCTCTGGTTGCCAGTGCAGTTTTCCCCGATAACCACGCTCTCCTTTATAGTTTTCTAATGCAACCAAAATATGGAATGGGTGTATCTGAGCCTAAAGAATTTTGGAAAACAGACTCAAAATGTTAATTTCACCTTCCAGTGATAATTTCTGCTAATTAAGTAAGCTATAAGATCAGTGATTGTGGAATAGGAAATTATATTTATTTAAGTATTCTGAATATAGAGTGCAAAGCAACTTTTTAACATGTTTTCAAAGTATTATTGCTAGAAATAACTGCTACAGTATCCCTTAGATTTTTTTTCCCTTTATCTAAATGAGATTTTTTTTAAAAAAAATTCAGTTATTAATTCAATGGTTTATTTGGTTGATTTAGAGAGATTCAAATTTATATGGTGACCTCACAAACTTGGTCTGGTAATCAGAACAGTGCTTTTTTATTCTCTTTGCCTTCTGTAAAGCTATTACACAAGAAGAGAAATCCTTTCATATGACGTTTACAGCCAATGTTCCCGACAAAAGGATATTTTTGTATAGGTTTTTGTTTTGTTTTGTTTTGTAATTTACACTTGTTCAGCAAAACAATGATTCCCCCATTTTAGCAGTAGAGAAAGCATTGAAAAGGTTACTGATTTTAAAGGCTACCTTCGTAAAAATATGAACAGAAGGAAAGATTACAAGTATATTTAAAAATCTTGTACAGGGCTTACAATCATTTATTTAATGACCATTTGAAGTTACAACAGCACTGAAAAAAGTGACTTATGACCACTTTCCACTCACGTGACCATTGCAGCACCCCTGTGATCATGTGATCAAAATTTGGATGCTTGGCAACTGGCGTGTATTTATGACAGTTGCAGCGTCCCAAGATCATGTGATCACCTTTTGTGCCTTTTTTGACAAGCAAAGTCAATGGGGAAGCCAGATTCACTAAACAATCATCTTATTAACTTAACAACTGCAGTGACACGCTTAGCAACTGTGGCAAGAAAGTTTGTAAAATGGGAGTAAAACTCACTTAACAACTATCTTGCTTAGCAATGGAAGTTTTGGGCTCAATTGTGATCATTTTCCATCATCAACTAGAATTGCCAACTTCCCCTGAAACCAACCCCAAAGATTCTACACTCTGAATCAACCAACGTAGGACAGGTAATTTTTAATAAATAAGAGACTCAAGATCAAAACTATTGATTAATAAGTACTGATTACTTAATCCACTTAGTTTGGTGGAGAGGTTTAAGGTGCCAGGAAACTGCAAGTTCTAGTCCTGCGTTATGTAGAAAGCCAGCGGACTCATTTTGGGCCAGTCGCTCTCAGCCCAAGGAAGGCAAACCACTCCCGAAAATCTTGACAAGAAAACTGCAGGGATATGTCTAGGCAACAGCACAGGTCAGGAATGATTTGGAGGCACACATACATAGATACCGACCCCCCCCCCTTTAATTGCCTGTAAAATAATTCACCCCGTCTGTAAAACAGTAATAGCTGTATTTGTTAGGCACATAAAACTAGGCAAAAATAGACACTGAATAAAATGCAAATTGATACATTATACTATAATTCAATTAAATTGAAAGGTCCATGACATATAACATTATCCTCTATCATATAAAATTGGAAAATCAATAATAGTTATATATTTTAAAGTAACTTTATAAAATACGGTAAAAAAGATGTTAGTGGGTTTTTTTTTAAATAACTAGAATCTAAGTAGCAGTCCATTCCAACCCCCCAAAAAAACCTGAAGATAGGTAGATAGGTAGATAGGTAGATAGGTAGGTAGGTAGGTAGGTAGGTAGGTAGGTAGGTAGATAGATAGATAGATAGATAGATAGATAGATAGTTAGATAGATAGATAGATAGATAGATAGATAGATAGATAGATAGAAGCACGAAGCTGAAAACACCAGCCTGAAGATGACGAATGAGACTTCGTCGAAACGTCGTCAAGACACTTCCAATTTTACACGGGAGAAAACCTGAATAACCAAAGACCTACATAGATAAACACAGATCTGATAATCTTAAACAGGATGTGGCTATTCCAGTTTGTGGTAGGAATAAATAACTCTAACCCAATAAATTTGGTCAAGAGCACAAAGTCATCAGCAGATCTTTCTAATAACCAGATGTACAGGTAGTCCTCGACTTATAACAGTTCATTTAGTGACCGTTCAAATTACAATGGCACTGAAAAAAGTGACTTTTGACCATTTTTCATTGCAGCATCCCCATGGTCATGACTCATATTTATGATGGTTGCAGTGTCCCTGGGTCATGTGATCGGCTTTTGCAACCTTCTGACGAACAAAATCAATGGGGAAGCCAGATTCACTTAACAACTGTGTTACTAACTTAACAACTGCATTGTTTCACTTAACAACGGTAGCAAGAAAGGTCGTAAAATGGAGCAAAATTCACTTAACAAATGTTTCACTTACAAGGGAAATGTTGGATTCAATTGTGGTCATATATTGAGGACTATCTTGTATACAGGGCATGATTTCTGAACTCTATCAATTTGTCAAGAATGTCCATAATTCTTGACAAAAATCAAAAGGCATAATAAATCTTTTGTAATCTAGCTAATAATACAACAGATTCTGTCAACATTTATTAAATGCAACAGAGTTCAATAGGTTTTTTTTTCTATAAAGAGCTTTTTTAAATATAGAAACGTTTACCACATACAGTGGGTAATACACAAATACAAAGAGTAAGAAACAAGAAAATTGTTGATGGATATCTGAATGATGCTTTTTTTTATGTAAGCATATTCTAGACCAGCCCTTCTCACATGGCATATCATAGAATCATAGGATTTCACGGGAGATTGTGATTGAAAATTAAAAATAAAACTTTTTTTCAGCTTTCTCTACTATGTAATACTAGCAGTCACAGTAGTTGAAATTTTTACACAATGGATCCCAGCTTTTAAATATTGTATTCAATTTTTCTAATATAAATAGCATTAAGTACAATCAATTTACAATATTTATTTTTTTACATAAAATCTACCAGAACTACCTTTTGAAAAATTAAATCCTATTTTGTCTCTTTGTCAGTTATTCAGAAATGCGTTTGTCTTGTAAGTTTTTAAAGTTTATGAAAGGGGGAAAAGATTAATTTCAATAAAAAGTAAGTTAAGCATAACCAGATTTTCTTCCAAGGAGGGCTAAAAAGTCATTTTTAGTTTCAAATAGGGAAAAAACTACTCTTGCACATACCATTCATCATTAGCATCTTGTGCATTAGAAATTTGGATAAAATTATAAAATGTAGAATATTTAAAGGGAAAAACTGAAGTTTCATCTACCCACATTACTGACTTACATTAGAATTAGTACCTTTGTGGTACAGGGGAAGCCAACAAAAATAATGCACTAATGAATTGGCAAAATAGATCCACAGAAAACTAGAATACAATACGCACAAGAACAATGCGTTAAAAAATCCTTACCTTTTTAAGAAGTTTTTCATTTTTTAATTTTTCACAAACCATTGCTACCTCTGAGCTTCCCGGTTCAAGAACAGAATTTGCTGTCATTTTCCCCAGGTTTTTCAATACTGCTGTTACGGGCATGTTCTGTAGCAGTGCTTTCCATACCTTATACAAAATGAAATTCAACGGTAAGAAAAAGTCATGTGTTTAAAGAAAAAGACATACTCAGTATAAATACGCATAACTGTACAGGAATCATGTAAATTTATTTATTCATTCGTCACATTTCTACAATATCCACTTCAGCTATGTAATTCTGGGCAGCTCACAATAAAAACATGTCACAAAGTATAAAAGCGTAAATAAGAACAAAGTTAAAAACAGGGATGACTCTCTTCTCATAAGGCAAAATTCTTTAACCAACAGGATCCACGATGTGCCCTCCCCACCTGACCACGTCGAATGGGACAATATAATTTGGACAAGCAAGATAGTTCCTCAGGTAACCTGGTCCCATGCCATGAAGAATACATGTAAAACTAAGAATACATGTAAAAATTGTTAAAAGTACTATAAAAACAGAGGAGTGATAAAGTGCAGAAAACAACATTATATAGTGTGATTCAAAGTATTAATGTTTCTCTAATTTCCTTACCTCTTTAGATTTCAAGTGACTTGTCAGGAGGTGTTCTCTAACTAAACTATGCTCTTCTATCAAATGAATCACTTCCAGTTCATCCGTTGTATGCTTTACCCTTTCCACTGCTTCCAAATACGTCAACACTTTTTCAGCCTCAGCAGAAAGCCTGCTCTCTTTATATGTCTCTTGGACTTCCTTCCATCCCTTCATTACATACTTAGTGACAATGGCCAGGCCTGTTGAAATACAGTAAGTTTTATTTCTAATTTAGAACATATTTTGAAAAGAAATATGAACTTCAAAATAATGTGAAGTTATCAAATATTAGGCTGGAAAGTGTATTTATTTTGTATTTGGTATTTTCTGGCATCCTAGCAAAACTAGCAATTTATTTATGTTACCTTGATAAATAGTGGAATATAATATAAAAGTAAAAGAATAAGTAATGTTACTATTTAATTAAATACATATGGACACAGACAATGCCTTTTTCACAATTTATTCATCTGACCCTCAGTCTTTAGGACTGATTGTGGGCATGCTTTCTGCTATAATTCTTCTATTGCTTTTGCTATTTGTAGCAGCAACAAAAATTACTTCTAGAAAAATTTCAAGCTTTTGATTTTAAAAAAATTAAAAACTATTAAAGATTCTCCCCTATTATAAAACAAAGCAATACAGGTTATTTGTATTGAGGCCCAAATTTCTGGTGCTAGGCAAGAAAGTGGTTTTGCTCCATTTTATGACCTTTCTTGCTACAGTTGTTACACAAATCACTGCATTTGTTAAGTTAGCAACACAGTTGTTAAATGAATCTGGCTTTCTCCTTGACTCTGCTTGTCAGAAGGTCGTAAAAGCTGATTACATGACCCCGAAACACTGCAACTGTCATAAATATGAGTCAGTTACCAAGCATCTGAATTTTGATCACGTGACCATGAAGACACTGAAATGATCATTAATTGTGAAAAATGGTCATAAGTCAGTTTTCAGCATTGTTGTATCTTCAAATGGTCACTAAATGAACTGTTGTAAGTTGAGGACTACCTATACGTTAATAAAAGTTTTTTTTTAAGTGAACATTCTATATTCTGTCCAATATTTTATACTTTTATATGTCAGTTTGTCATGGCTTACTTTACAGAATTACACTTCCATGTCTCGCTCCTCTATCTCTTTTGTTCAAATGTAAAGACAAAATCAACAAATCCTTGTTGACTCAGAAAATTGACTTGTTTTGTTATTACCTTCATTTGCAGGCTTTAGATGTGATAACCTGAGAAGGTCTTTATGACACCAGCCATTTTTCTTCTTGTATGCTGTCACCGCCAAAGCAATCGCCATGTCATTCTTTCCATTGTACCAAACTGAAACAGCTTTTCTCAGGGCCCGGCCCCACATGCCACATTTCATGCCTTCCTTCAGATCCTTTTTAAACTGGATGAAAGTGAAGAGGTGGGTTGGTATATGACAAATTTCAGGGACAGCCTTATAAGCTTCTTGTTTGGTTTTGGCATCAGAACATTGTGAACAAATGGCAAGCGCAAACAATACTGGATCCTGTTTTGCTGCTCTACCTTCCTGGCTGAATGTCTTTATTTCTTGCACTGCTTCATAACCTTTGCCACCTTCAATAAGCCTCAAAAGAGCATCTACACTTTCAAAGCTCAGTTTCTGTTCCTTGACATAGAATGCACCTCCTTCAGAACCAAAACACAAGAAACGGCGCAGTCTAGTCATGTCTGTAACTTGCCACCCACATCCATCTTCAGAATCTGATATCTGGTTTTCATTGTCTGGCTGCATTGGACTTGCTCCTTCTTCCATTGCTTCTCAGTATAAAGAAGTCCCCTGAAGAAACACAATAAAATTATTTCATTTATCTGGAATCTGGACTTTATGGTCAGCATTATTAAGACAATTACTCAAAACATTTCTTTCAGAATAAATGTTCGGCAATATTTTATGAAAAAAATGTTCCAACTTCAATTAAAACCTTCAGAATGAGAATCTTTTATATACAAAATGTACTAGATACAGTAAGTATAAGAGATTATCTCAATTTCCTAATAAATATTCGTTGACACGATTCTAAAAAAATCTCCCTAAATGAACCAATTTTCTTTGGATAATGCTAGTGAGTTAATATTTTACTCTTTTCTTCAATCCCAGAGGTTTTATAACTCATAAGGTCAATTGATTCAGTTGATCATATATACTAATAAATATATTTTTTGAATTTTTTCAAAGAAAAAGTAATTTCATAATTTCTTATCTATCCTATGCTGGTCTAAGTAATTAAAAGTTATTCTGCCATTACAAGCATATTCACTATACCTGCATCCAGAGACCAAAATATTTAGGCAACTATATGAAATTCATGTCTCCAATGCATTTCTAGTAAGCAATTAAGATTTGACAACTTCAAGCTGTAATTTCTAGAAGTGATTTATTTATTTGATGTAATATCTTCTGGTGTTACTAAGAATCCTATAATTACTTTTAATTTCTGAACTTAATAAACTATTTTGTCAAGTTTATTTTTTTCCTTTCCTGTTTCTTATTTAAAGATAATAATATGCATGTTTAATTTACATTACAGAACAAAGATTCTGAAATGCAATATCCTGTCTGAAATATAATGTTCTTAGGACATGCAATATTCTGCTTTTAAAAATAAGCTGTGTAAATATGCTAATGGAATTCCACACAGAAATACATATTTTATAATTTGAAATTGAAAAACACATTCCTCACAACACAATAAAATATTTTGAGCAGTAAAATTTTAGCACAATTTCTAAATTAAAAAGGTACTCTAAAGACCAACAAAAAAATAATATAATCAGATGTGCAATTTAAATGATGTAATTGTTTTATATAAAATTTCTAATTAGTTTTCAGTGATGAAACCACTTGAAATTGGAAATGCCATAAATCAAACCACAAACATGTCCTTATTAAAAAATAAAACAGCTTAAAATCTTGTAACATTGCCCAGAATTTGATATAAGATGGGCAGCCACATATTTTAAATATAGTTCGGAACCAACGTAAATGCATTTTGTGCCAACTGTTCACAGAAAAAACAGATATGAGTGCAAGATACAACACACTGCAGTTTTTCATTTGTATCCCACCCATTTTCCAATTTGTTCAAAGTGCTATATCTCAGCTTATTCAATATTGTCTTGCATACTAATGCTATGGAAGAAATTAAAGAAAAATAGCTATTTATTGAATCCCACTCAACACATTCCATTGTTAAGTTCCAGTTCAAGTGTAACATTTTCTAAAGTGGTTTGGGCTAAGGAATCTTTGTGACAGATTGTTCAGGCCAAAATCTATGATATAGAAAGAATGCCATTGAAGGTAGAAAAAAATGCATGTTTCTACTCAGTGTAATCAGGTAATTACAGATAACAACAGTTCATTTAGTGACCGTTCAAAGTTACAACGGCACTGAAAAAAGTGACTTATGATCATTTTTCAGACTTATGACCACTGCAGCATCTCCATGGGTTCATGATTTATATTCGGATGCTTAACAAGTGTCTCACATTTATGACAGTTGTAGTGTCCCAGGGCTTTCTGATCAGATTCACTTAAGAACTGTGATACTAATTTAACAATTGCAGTGATTCAGTTAACAAATGTGACAAGAAAAGTGATAAAGTGGGGCAAAACTCACTCAACAAATTTCTCACTTAGCAACATAAATGTTGGGCTCAATTTTGGAAGTAGGCTGAGGACTACCTGTACTATATATTCACTTGGGGAATTATGGTACAGAACATTTCCCATTACCTGTCGAGCAGCCAATCAATCATCTACTAACCTATTCAGATCTTGCAAAACCTCTGCAAAATCATTCATCAGACAACACGTATAAGTCCTTTATTCATTTGTACTATGGGATGCACATTCCTCAAGACAACAAGTTGCAATTGCTTCTATTGCTATCCTGCATTCCTGTTCAACCACATTGCTCCTCTCCAGGATGCCCCAGGTGGATCACTCCAGCAATCCCTAAACTCATAGTATAATCCTCAATTTACAACCACAATTGAGCCCAAAATTTATATTGCTAATTTGTTAAGTGAGTTTTGCCCCATTTTTCGACCTTTCTTGCCACATTTGTTAACTGAACCATTGCAACTATTAAGTCAGTAACATGGTTGTTAAGTGAGTCCAGCTTCCCCACTGACTCTGCTTGTTAGAAGGTCACAAAAGATGACTGCATGATCCAAGGACACTACAAGTGTCATAAATATGAATCAGTTGTTAAGCATCTGAATTTTGATCACATGACCATGAAGAATGCTGCAATGGTCGTAAGTGTGAAGAATGGTTATAAGTCCCTTTTTTCAGTGCTGCTGTAACTTTGAGCAGTCGTTAAATGAATGGTTGTAAGTCAAAGACTATCTGTACAAGGTTTTAAAATATGCTTGTAATATTTCTGTTCATCTTTTTACGAAGATACTCCTTAAAGTCAGTAACTTTTTGCAGTTTTCTCTACTGCTACAGTAAAATGGGGAATCATTCTGAAAAAGTGAAAATTACAAAAAAATATTATACAAAAATATCCTTTTGTCGGGAACATTGGCTGTGAACTTCATATGAAAGGATTTCATATGTGTAAAATAGGTTTACAGAGGGCAAAGAATTTCTTTTCTTTCTTTTTTTTTTTTTAAAGCACTGTTTGGATTACCAGACCAAATTTGTGAGGTCATCGTATAAATCTGAAGTTGTAAGTCGAGGGCCACCTGTATTGTGAACCGCTTCTCCCCACCCGCAACGAGACAGCTCCGATCGATCAATCAAAAACAACTGCCAGAAATTCTTCCCTCGGCTAAAATGCTACAGGTCGGGCATGAATGAACGACCGACAAAGAGAGAAAAGGCGGCTTGCTTCGTCGCCGCTCCCAGGCCCGGTTCGAGCTATTCCTGGAAGGCAGGAGAGCGATTCCCTAACCGAAAGAGACGGCCTCGCTGCTGCCGGCAGCCTAAGAACTGGCCTGCAACCAACCCACCATTTTATCTTTTATGGGTACTTAGGTCGGGGCAGCAACGTCTGCACACACAAACCGTACCTCTATGTAACTGCTGCAACCTCCGCGGCTTTTTGGGAGCCCAAGGAAAGGATCGCTTTCTCCTCAAGCGCGCTCTCTCTCCAGTCACTCCTCGCCCCCACCAAGACCGCCCTGACAACTTCCCTCACGCAGCAAAAACAAGGGAGGGAGCCGGATGGGGCAGCGGGTCCCGTCGCCTCCTGCACAGATGACGGGGAGTCCCTAGGACCCGGATGCACTGCACACGTACACGCACACCCGCCCCGCAACCCACATCTGTCTCGCGGCACTATCCTTCTTGGTCTCGCGGGCACAGGCGGCGGCGAAGGTTCCCGCTGATTGCTTTTGTGCGGGTTATGCACAGTGCGATGTGAGCCCGGACCCCCAGCGCTCCTTGAGTGTTAAAGCTAAATTTGTGGTCCAAACGTTTTGAGCGAAGTTCGTCGAGCCTGAACTGGAATTGCAATACCGTAGGGATGTGCTTGCAATTTCAGCTCCTATAGATTCTTTTGGACGTTTTTGGTAGGCAGCCGTTGGTGGCGGGAATGTAGGACAGCGAAGCTAGAGGAGAGGGACTTTTGAGGTTTTGAGATTTGAGGTTTTACATCACTGTTGTTCCAGTTACATTGCTGTGATTCGGTGATGGATTATTTTAATTTTCCGAGCAAAGCAGTCTTTGTATTAAACTGATGCCAATGGAGTGCAAGAGTATGGTTTGCCAGTGGTTAAGGCACCAGGCTAGAAAACCAAGAGATCATGGGTTTTAGAGTCTCAAGCATAAAAATATTCTCCAGAAGATCAGCATAGTTGCGTTTTATAGTCACTAAACATCAGTTGGAGCCACAGAATAGAGAAAATGACCCAAGGAAGATCAGTTAGTGGCTGCGTTGCTTAATCTAATTAGCAAATTAGGATGGCATTATTAACATGCTAAAACAGTTAAAGCAAATAAGCAATCCCGATTATTGGGGCTAAAATATAATGTGGTTTCTTCAATTTGGATTAAGTATTTGGTTTGTCATCCTTGATTTATGATTTAGCGCAAAGTGGAACATAGCCAGGATAGTGTAGTCAGGTTAAAACATTTTAGTCCATGGTTGCCCGTCCGCCTCCAAGCTGTTTCATTAGTCAATGGTTCAATAGTATATGGATACAGAAAACTGGGTCGAGTAATTAACTGTGCATATCAGTGCAAATATAGCCTATAAGCCACTGCCCTCTTGGCTTATAGATTGCCAACTGAATTTGCAAATGCAAAGTTATAAAATAATATCACCGCGCCATTTACTCTTTACACCGGGTTTGCTCTATTCTTTAAAAACCCGTCTCTACGGCTCTTTAATTGCAAGCCGGAAATGCAGCATGCCAGGCAGTTTAGCCTCTCCTCTCTTTGATTAGTCCTTTTGCTCCTCTCTTCATCATAGAGTAGATGAGACCGCCTCGTCGAGATCTGAAGTCGCCGGCCGCTGAGGCTGTCGGGAAAACGGCGGCGTGCCTTTCCTTGCTTTGCTTTCGACCGTCCGCGGAGTGGGCGAAGAAGGGCGCGCGGTTATCGCAGAGGGGCGGCGTGTGAGCGAAGCGAGGGAGACTGCCGGAGCCTTTTGCAGAGTCCGGGCGATTGAGAGGAAGTAGGGCAGCGCGGCCGCTTTTTGGACGCGATGGCGGGCGGGGGCAGCGCTGGCGAGTGGTGCCTCATGGAGAGCGATCCAGGCGTCTTCACGGAGCTCATCAAGGGGTTCGGTGAGGTTTGTGGCTGGACTGCCTTCGCGGCCCCCCCCTTCCGAGGCGGTGGAGCTAAAAGGGAGCCAAAGGGGGAAAACTGGCCAAAGCCTCAGATTCGATCTTCATGGGCTCGATTGGCTTCTTAAGATTCCCAGCATCGGTTTGCAAATGCCTCATTGATTAGGAATGGATGCGGTTTCTGGCCATGTACAGAACGCGGTTCCCTGGTTAACGACCATTTTGCAATTCATTCATTAGAGCAGCAATTCAGGAATAACAAGTTACAATAATTAGGGCAAAAGCTATCACGCCTATTTAGCATCTTGTGTGAAACTACTTTTTTTTTTTTAAGGAGTGAGATGTCCTCTGGACAAGATTATTTCCTCACACGTGTAGAATTCTTTTTTTTCCTTGGTGCACATTAGATTTGTTTTTCTTTGATATTAAAATGTTTGGGGCAATGGAGAATAGAGATGATATTAACATCCTTTCTGTGCCCTAGTAATGGATCTGGAGGGGAAAACATTGAGGCTTATTTATGATGGAGTTACAGCTATGTAACAAAAGAAATAGATTATAGAAATCGTAGTAGGTATTTCCCATTAATTTGGGAATGGGGAGAGAGATGCATACACATCAATTTGTATGTGATACAGTAGCTTTGCATAAAACTGACTTTCAAAAAAGAGCTGCAACCAGACTGTTCTGACATGCATTTGTAAATGTGTACTCATTAGATCAGCATTTTACCATTCATTTCCAGTTTTGTCTACAGCCTAGTGGTCTCCCAATCAAATATTAACTAGGACCAAAGTTGCCCCCTTCTTCAAAAGCAGTCAAGATTGGCTGGTGGCTGTCATGTTAAATGTGTCAAATCTATATTTCAATTGTGTATCTATGATTAACAACATATAATGTAACAAATGCCTGAAAGTAAAATGTGTATGTGTCAGAATTTTGTGAGTGCAAACATGCAAGGCAGATACTTGAAGAGCTGGATTAACTTGTAATTCCTCTTTAAATTAATTCTAAGTTTTGCCCTTGGATTTTTCTCATGTAAATTCACCCAACCTACTTTTCAATTTTGCCTAGCTTACATACATTGTATTTGTTATGAAAAAATGATTTTTTTTAATTTTCAGGTTGCAGAGGAGCACAGGTTGAGGAAATATGGAGTTTGGAGCCTGAGAACTTTGAAAAATTAAAGTAAGTATGTTGCTTGTAGTTAGTTACCTTTTGTTCTTTGTGTTCATCCTTGCTGTATAATTTAGGTTCTGTATTTCCCGCCAATGAATAAAGGAGATTTTTAGTCAAGCAATTCACATTATTGGAAAAAGAAATGAAGATACCTTTTAGATTCTAGTCCTATATAGTTACTTTTGTAAGTATATAGTTACATTGTGAGTTCTAGTGGGGAGAAGAGATTGAATGCTGCCAGAAATCTGTGAAGTTATTTGCTCTGCCTGTTGCAAAGTCTAGGTCAAGAGTAGGCAACCTTGGCTCTTTTATGACTTGTGGAGTTCAACTCCCAGAATTCCTGAGCCAGCCATGCTGGCTCAGGAATTCTGGGAATTGAAGTCCACGAGTCATAAAAGAGCCAAGGTTGCCTACCCCTGGTCTAGGTACTCCATTACCCAGTAAGGAGATTCAGTGAGGGGAAAAAAGTATTTGATCCCCTGCTTATTTTGTACATTTGCCCACTGACAAATGATCAATCTATAATTTTAATGGTAGGTTTATTTTAACAGTGAGAGACAGAATAAGAACAAAAAATTCAGAAAAACGCATTTCAAAAAAGTTATAAATTGATTTGCATTTTAATGAGTGAAATAAGTATTTGATCCCCTATCGATCAGCAAGATTTCTGGCTCCCAGGTGTCTTTTATATGGGTAATGAGCTGAAATTAGGAGCACTCTCTTAAAGGGAGTGCTCCTAATCTAAGCTTGTTACCTGTATAAAAAATAACTGTCCACAGAAACAATCAGATTCCAAACTCTCCACCATGGCCAAGACAAGGAACTATCCAAGGATGTCAGGGACAAGATTGTAGACCTACACAAGGCTGGAATGGGCTATAAGACTATCACCAAGCAGCTTGGTGAGAAGGTGACAATAGTTGGTACAGTTATTCTCAAATGGAAGAAACACAAAATAACTGTCAATCTCCCTTGGTCTGGGACTCCATACAAGATCTCACCTCGTGGAGTTTCAATGATCATGAGAGAGGTGAGGAATCAGCCCATAACTACAAAGGAGGATTTTGTCAGTGATCTCAAGGCAGCTGGGACCATAGTCACCAAGAAAACAATTGGTAATACACATTTTTAGAAGGCATAGTATTCCTTTCCACTCCACCTGCTAATTAGTTATTGTTCTATGCTTTAGTTATAATACAAATGCAATTAGCTTTATTTCCTGGTCAGTATATATGTTTCAATTTTCAACATATTTTTTGTTTTTCTTTATCTTTAGGCCAGTTCATGGACTGATATTTTTGTTCAAATGGCAACCAGGAGAAGAACCAGCTGGTTCTGTTGTTCAGGATTCTAGATTAGATACATTATTTTTTGCTAAACAGGTATGGTAAATTGGAAAACTGTGTATCTTCTAGGACAGCTAGAAGGATGTTTCTGAATTAATACGTATATAATTTGCCCTTTTAAGAAAATTTATGGAGGACATATTTTTAAAACTAGGAAGTATGAAATTGTCCATATACAGTCCTTGACTTACGACCACAATTGAGCCCAAAATTTATGTTGTTAAGCGAAACAGTTAAGTGAATTTTTTGCCCCATTTTACAGCCTTTGTTGCCACACTTGTTAAGGGAATCATTGAAGCTGTTAAATTAGTAACAAGGTTGTTAAATGAAATCTAGCTTCCTAATTGACTGCCTGTCAGAAAGTCACAAAAGGTGATCATGTGACCCCAGGATACTGCAATCACAATAAATATGAATCAGTTGCCAAGCAGCTGAATTTTGATCATGTGACCATGGAAACAGTTGTAAGTGTGACAAATGGTCATCAGTCACTTTTTCAGTCCCATTGTTTGGTCACTAAATGAAGTGTTGTAAGTCAAAATACTGTTTATCAAGGAATTGGATTTTGTCTTCATTTTTATTTGTTTCAGAATTGTAATATCTTCAATAAAGACCTCCAGCCAGAAAATATCCGTTGTTTAACATGAAACGAACTTTATTCAGTTTGATTAGATATGTTAAGGTAGCAAGCAAAGTGTAGTAAAATTTAACTCCAGTGATATAATGTGTTTTGAACTGTCCATTTTACATGAGGATGTCATCCATATAAAGTTTAAGGATGAACAAGGTAGATCTGGACAAGGTGATTTCTGCAATTACCGCTACTTTAAGAAGTTATCTCTTCATCATCTTTCTTTGCTTTTCTTGTCTTGTTTTACATGGAAATCTGTTAAGTATTTGGTGCAAAGTAAATAGCAGAATTGCCATTCCTTCTGCTTTAATTTGTGAGAGATAATATGTTAAACCTAATCACATGAGAATATTCAGTTAACTCAGTTTAACTTGAATAGAAGATTGAGAAACAGAAGTTTTACTTGAGTTAAAAACTTGTGAGGCACTAAAACATGATCTAACA